TCGTGAGGTCTCCCAGCTCCCAAGGAGGTYRCTCRTGAGGTCTCCCAGACCCATGCGGATCACATGTGAGGCCTCCCAGTGCCCAAAGAGATTGCTCGTGAGACCTCCCAGCACCCATGGAGGCCACTCATGAGGCCTCCTGTCTTCCAGAGAGGCCTCCCTGCTCCCGAAGCCTCCTTGCCCTTGCTTTGGCCATGATGGTGCAGCCCTGTGTGGTGCAGCGGCACCACCGGCCGAGCTCCAGGCTCCAGGCTCCTGGCCCCCAGCTCTTGGCTCCGTGGGGCGCGCTGCGACACWGGCCCAGGACCCGCTCCGCACACCGCCCTCGCACGGTACCCTCCTCAAAGAGCCACTTCCAGAAGGGATGCTTCATAGCAGCAACAGCAACGGGAAAAAACAGGGCTCGGCAAGGATGGGGAGAACAAGGAAACCTCCCATAGCTCTAGCAGCTGTGCAAGCAACGGGTGTTTGGGGCGCTCATCCTCCTCCTCATATCATTTCTGCCTCCTTGGGCACTTTTGTACCAGTCAGGAGCTGTGCATCCCGCAGAAGGAAGGACAGGAGGCACCAGGAGCCCATGGGCTGYCCCCCTCATGGTGAATGGAGCCTCCTGGCCCCTCAGCTTCAGGGAAAGGTCCAAACACAGGGAGCTCGTATCCTATTTGCTGACACCTTTACACCGGAGAGCCCTGCATGGTCATCTGAGCAGCTGCTCTATGCTTTTTTTACTATTATTATTATTATATTATTATTATTATTATATTATTATTATTATTATTATTACTTTGTCCCTGTGAGCTCCCAGATTTTCGTTTTGTTCACTTTAGTTCTGCAGGAGGCTGGGGGCTGAAGTCAGAGTCAGCAAACCCTTTTCCTAAAACAACAGCTCATATGGGGACTAGAGACAGTTGTACAAACCTTCCCCAAACTCAAAGAGCGCACGGAGTTTTCAAAAAGGGGGGGAAACCCCAGCAAACACASGGGGCTGCTGTTGTAGAGTGATAAACCTAGTGAATAAAGGCTATGCGTTAAATACACAAGCACTGCAGCATATACCCACGCTGGATAAAAATACCAGAACACCAAACAAAAATCAAAATTATGACTGATGGGCACAGTACTGATAAAACAGGAGGAGAATCAGACCATGCTTAAACTGGTTTTATCTATCAACATAGTTACTGGAAGAAAGAATAACCCAAGTGGCAGTAGAAAGAAACACTGGAGCAGCACCAAGATGCTGAAGAAACAAAACAGCCTATGCTTTATTACCATGAGATTTTAAGAAGGTCAGGCCATACAGCAACATGACGAGCAAAATTTGCAGAGCACCAGCAACGCTCTTATGATGATGGCAGGTGGCAAATGTTTGGCATATCTGGGGATTGAGAGCTGCAGTGCACGATCCTCCTCTCCCTCCTGTTTTCAATAGCTCTGGGCTGTGTCCTCAGAGAGGGACCACACCGCCCAAGATGACTCAGGGGGGAAATGCCACAGCGTGGGGTTTGCTGGGGTTGTTCTTTTGCCTTTCCTACTTGTGCTGAGCAGAAGGGAACTCTAAAGAACACAGAAAAAAAAATAACTGAAACTGTGTGTGAAAGCAGAAAAAGAAGGAGGGAATCATCGGGGAGAGAACTTCATGCTGTGCTTGGACACAGACGTAGTGAGCTGCACCCTGCGGTGCTGGAGCTGCTCATCCCACTTGGATTAGATGCAGTGATGCCAGGCAGCTCCCTCCGGCGCCTCTAGAGCACCTTGCAAAAAGGCTTCTCTATAAAGTTATATAAGGCCCCCGGAAAAAGGCAGCTCTGCCACCCCCCAGGAGGTCTCCCCTTTAGAAATCCTCATTATTCACCAGGCAAGACACCAGCCCCAAAGAGCAACACGAGCTGAAGGCCACAAGCTGCAGAGATGCCTCACTCGGCTCCCCCGTCTCCCTCCTCGGAGCACGCGGCCCGAGGACGCGTTGCTCTGGAATYGCTGCTCCCAGGAAAGGGCCCAGCCCCGGGCACAGTGTTGGGACTTACTGCATCCACCAGGGCCAGCAGCTGACAGGGCAGCAGGGACAGAATATCCGGACGTGGAGCAGCCCGCGGGAGCGCGCAGCGTGCAAGGCTCTAATCACTTAACTTTTCCCGTTTTCTCGGTTGCAGAGACATGTGACTGGCCTTCACATACCAGCAGTGACCCCTCCCAGAGCCAGTGATTTCCTAAGAGCGGGGAAGGATGTTACCCTCCCGCTTACTCACTACAAGATTAGGTTTCCACGGTATTCACTAAAACCTCACGCCATCTAGGGTCCGTGTGCCACTGACGCGAGGGCTCCTTATGGAGAGATACAGGAGACACGGCAGCMACCGGCAGGGATATGGGAGCACTGTGGTCCTGCTCCCCTGGCCTGATGGCTGCTTTCATTTCCAGGTGCTATTAACCCTTGGCTTTCACATCCACGTCTCTGCTTGTGCCCTGCCCCAGCACAGAGGCTGTGGGTGCTTTCAACCCGTCAGTGCATGAGCTGTCCCTGCTGCTGGGGTGTATTTCCTCACACACACTTCCCCACACGCCTTGCTGCACCAACATGCAGGGAGCTGCGCAGCGCTGGGTTTGTTTCTTGACTCAGTGCAGTCAGATGAGAGGTTGCTGAGAAAAGGGGAGGCTTTGTTAGCCCTGCTGCACTGCAGCCTCGCTAGGATGCCCCCTGCATGACAGGTTCCTGTTATGTCCCTGCTCCCGCCTGCAGATCCGGATCCTCAGGGCTGCTCACCCGGTGTGGATGGGCCTCCAGGCCCTCACAGCGCAGGAAACTGCAGGGAGCTCCGGGATGCAGGGAGAGACCTCCGGTGGCCTCACGGAGCACTGCAAGCAGCAGCAGGACACTAGATCTTGCCTGGGGCTTAAACATCCCRCAGGGTGCGGGAAAAGCCGGCGGCTTGGCAAGGAAAGGGATSAGTTGCACTAGCCCCACTTGCAGAGCAAGGTGGTTCAGGGCAAYTAAAGCCTTCTGGCATCTCCTCTTCTGGTATCTCCTCTTCTGGCAACCTCTCTTCTAGTACCCTGTCTTCTGATAACCCATCTTCTGATATTCTCTCTCCTGGTGTCCTGTCTTCTGATAACCCTTCATCTGGTATCTCCTCTTCTGACACCCTGTCCTCTGGTATCTCCTCTTCTGGGTATCCACTCTTCTCATATCTCCTCTTATGATACCTCCTCTTCTGATATCCCCTCTTTACAGCCCAGGGTTGTTTCCGGCTGCACACTCACACTCCCAAATCCGTAGGAATAACATCCGTGGTTCGGGCAGCTATTTCTGGGAGAACCGGGCACTGCAGCAAAGCAGCCCAGACCCCTCCACACACAAACCCCAAGTAGCCCCAACACTGCAATCCGTCCCCGGCCCCAACACCACAGTGTAAGTGACCTGGCAGGTCCCTGTGCCCTGCTCTAGGATGGCATCTAGCAGGATGGGATGGAGCAGCCTCTGAACGGAAAGCTGCAAACGTCAGCAGCAAAAACTCGCAGCAGTCCYGCTGCTCAGGACACTTCTTCCCTCCCCCTATGGTGGGGACAAAGCAGAACTCAAAAAAAAAGGAGAGGAAAAAAACACCCTGTTTTATTTCACTGTGCCTGCAAACCTAAGCTGAAACAGCTTAACTCCTGATCTGCATTAGGTAGATACCAAGCATATTTTCAAGCATTACCCAGCTCAACTTTTCTTCATGGTAAYGTTTGTCTCGCCAAGCCAACATAGGCAGCAGTTTTCAGCCTKACAGGCACTAGAGAACACAACTATGGGGCAGAGAATCAGGGTGTGCACGTGCTGTCTAYCTCCCTCCCGCTCAGTCTCGCAGAAATCCTGGGCATTCAGTGAAAATGGGAGCTACAAGTGTTGACCTAAGTTTCTGCCTCYGTTTTGGTTGCAGCACATGAGCATTTACTTCATGCCTGTAAGTATTAAACAGCTAAGAGCTGTGCAAGATCTAAGCACTTATTTTCCATAGGAATGACAGAAAGAAGCACTAGAAGAATTACTAAGTGCCTTTGCCTGCTTTTTTAGGAATAAGCTGTATCTGAGCCCATGATGGTAACTACTTTGCCTGCTTTGCCCCAGAGGATTCACTTCACACTTAAATGAAAGAAACAAAACAGGTAAAAGGTCCCCCAACACCAGCACCCAGGAAAGCTCAGACTAGAGCAGTCCTGTCTTAGGTAACGTCCTTATCCGTGCAGGATGGAGATTCGAGGTACCCACATCCCTCACCCCTCAACACGTGGTCACTTCTGGCTCCATCTCCCACTTTGTGCCTTGGTGCCCTTGCACCTCGTGGCCAACACAAAATCAGCAAAGTTTTCCCGTAAAATGAGTTTCTCTGAACATGTTTCCTGACCACTTAGCAAGTTTCTGCTTCTGACATGACTCCTCTCCCATGAGGTTTCCCTGCTTCTCCTTTTTTCAGATAGGAGATAATACTACTTTTGTAGCACTCTCTTTCCATCAGTTATTTGCATATAAAGGAAACAAGTATCTAACAATCTCTAAACTCATGGACATGATAGGAGTAAAATCTCATCCTGACTAAATAAGTGGCAAACTTGAGTATCCAGATGAAGAGCTGCATTTGGAAACACGGCTTATATTTTTCCTAGCACTGCTTTTAGTAGACTTAGGTATACCTGGAGATGAACAAACGTTCATCTGCAACAGAAGATTAACTGTTCAAAGAGAAGGGTCCTGGGAGTGTTGCAATACAGCCCAGCCTTTTATTTGAACAAGCCTTACACAGAGACCTACAATGCTTTCATAAAGTATACACCAGTTTTTCTAATAAAATACAGGTTTGGATTGCTGTGTTTTCTTCAGCTCGTTTTGTTACACTGGAAATTATTCTGTTTAGGAAACAGGCAGTGTTAGAGCAGCCAACCAATGTTATTGAAGTTCACTGAAGTAAATGGACACTGGAAAGAAACAAACACACAACATAAAGTTCATCTACTATCTGTACCTGTCCAAGTGAGGAACTTCTGTGACGTCTCCTTTGAAGAGAGTTTCACTTGCACCTCTTAAGCCATTGGAGATCCCTTCGTGGTGACTCTTCAGCTCCCCTTCAGTGGGAAGCCTAAAGACCTCCTGCTGTGCCGAGGCTGAAGTCCTTTCGAGGAAGTGGCTGCCCTCCTTCATGCGYTGCTGGATCATCGGAGTGAGCGGCATTTCGAAGCTGAAGTAGCTGTCAGGCTCGGAATAGAGGGTCTCCAGTGACTCCGCACTGTAGTATAGAGACGCGTTGTCCAGGATGTTCTCAAACTGCGAGCTGTACAGATCCGTGGAGACATCGGAGTGCCTCACGTCTTCATAGCCTCCCATGGCTGCTTCCTCCTCCTCCATGATCCTAGAAATCAATCAGAAAGGGATTAAATTAGCACGGTCAGATCAACACCGCAGAGCAAACCTCAGTGACGCTGTGAAAGCAGCGGGTGAGTTGCCTCTATCTCCTCGTACTGCTCCTTGTTCTCCTTCTGCCTCCCTGAACACAACTGGCATCACATCTCTCCTTGCCCCAGTCCACAACTGGCACCGCATCTCTCCCTGCTATGTTACAGTTCTGAGGACACAAAAGGAAACAATATTCCAGGGAAAACAAAGGAAGCCCAGTATTGTCTGCCAGATAACATCAGCTGCTTATGCACAGAGAAGAAAAGCACTCACAGTTTCAAAAGGCCTCCCTAGCACCACTCCTGCCTGCCCTGCAAGGGACTGCTCAGTAAAGCAGTTTGCATTGAACCAAAGTCTKCTCCCAAGCGCAGCAGAGTCTGTTGGCGCTGCAACTCTGTAGCCAGGGTCTTAGGCAAAGCACTGAGGTAAAACTCTCCAAAGCGCATTAACACAAGAGGGAGCAAAGGCAGCTGGAAACTCAGAGATGAGAAAGCCAGAACYGAAGGGGACTGAAGCGTCAAAAGTTCCACAGGAACTTAAGAAAAAAATTCTTAACGGTGAGAGTGCCCGAGCCCTGGCACAGGCTGCCCAGGGAGGCTGTGGAGTCTCCTTCTCCGGAGATCTTTCCAACCTGCCTGGATACCACCCTGTGCCCCGTGCTCTGGGTGTCCCTGCTGGAGCGGGAGGTTGGACTAGGTGAGCTCTAGGGTCCCTTCCAACCTTAAGGATTCTGTGATTCTGTGTTTGGCCTTCTTGTAGTCAACAGACATAAGTTAAGATCACCTCTCTGCTACCAAAACCAGGAGACGCCCAGGAAGCAGGAGGCTGCCAGGTCATGATGTGTAAAGAGAGGCATCAAATAGGCAGTGCTCCCTCCAAACATCTTCCCTGGGACATGATCCCAAACCATCTGGCAGCAATACTTTCAAAGCTCCTTCCACACCACCTGGACCCAAGGCACCACAGAAACACTGAGGGTTCCCACCATCACTTTTTAGGACGAGAGGTGCTAATACCAATGTTTACGCTTGGTTTTTTTCCAGAAACAAAGATTCTTCTGCTTTTTCCACTCACCCCCTTTTTCTCTACCGCTGCCCCAAAATGCTGGAACTGGACACAGAGAAAGACAATTTCCAGCCGGCGTCCTGTGCCGTCGTTCTCCCTGCCTCCAGGAGTTGGCCTGACAAAGCAGGACCAGAGGGTCTGAGAGTCAGAAATAGCGAGCCAGACTCCTCGGGAGCCACGGACATGGAGCTGGAGCATCCTGGAAACAGGAGGCACTGGAGACTCCTCATTGACCCCCTAGTGTCTCGGTTACAAAGAATAAAACCTAGTAGACCGTTTTTTGCTGTGCTTCAGAGCCACAGGTGCCAGAAGCGTGTGTCTAAGTGAAGGCTGAGATCTGTCTGCCTGCACACAACCACAGCACCTCGGGAGCACATGGAACACTGTGGGGTTCCTTACACTGCCAGCACAGTCGCTAGGACCATAAACACGGGAAATCCCACACACTAATCACAGCAGAACCCAACAGATCCCAAAGGACAGAGAGACAGGCTGCCCTGCGTTGAATTCCAGCTGATTTTAGCAGTAGCCCCAGATCAGAGCTCAAGCATGGGACCCTTTATTACTGTTTGATTACCTATGAAAACCAAGCAAACCAAGGCACTTTACACTTACTTAAGCAGACAGTATTTAGCACATCACTACTTTTTCCTTCACAGAAGGTGGCTGAGCTGAGCTGAACTCTCCATGAGGAAAGAGGGACCGTGCCCCCCGCAGCACCCCCAAAAAGCCCTTCTACCTGTCCTTGTCTCCTGCAGCCTTGGCATCTCCGTCGTGTTTCTCGTCCTCCTTCAGGAAGACTTCATCCTCCCCACTTTCATCAAGCAAAGCCAATGGAGCAGCTCCAGGGAGGGCTCCTGGCYTCGGCTCTTCCCATCCCTCCCTCCAAGTGCTCCCTGGTGAGGAGATCAGTGCCGGGGACACCATGGGTGGCACTGAGTGGCTGGGTATCCTGGCGAGGGCTTTCCTCTCCACAGACACAGCCTCCAGCAGCAAATGCTTCTTTCTTCTCTGCTCCTCTGCTTTTCTCAACCATAAGATCTCCACCCCTTGGAATTCCACATGTTTGCCCACAGCTGCCTCTCTGGAGAGCCTCCTCTCAGGGCCCATCTGCATTTTGCCTTCGCTGCAGGCTGAAACCTCCGCAGAGGGGGCYGAGCCCTGCGCTCTGCCGGCTGCCTCCAGCCCTGCTGCAGATGGCCCACGGCAGCTCGTCTCCTGCGCTGCGTGGACCTCCTCAGCTTTATTACTGATGGCTTGTGAGGGCTCTGACTGCTTTTCTCCAGTCAATACTGCAGCCAGATCTTTTCCTGTGATCAAATGCGTTTTTTCCTCAGCTGTTCCTTCAGATGGAAGAGGCATGTCTGAGGGTTTTTCTTGGCCTGCTGGAACTGGTTCTCTGGCTGCCTGCRCATTCTGGCTGCCAGTAACCCTCTCTTTTTCCATCTGCGCCTCTGAAACGAGAGGAGCATTTGCTTCCTCGTGCACCTCTGTTCCTGCGGGCCACGCGGAGGCTCTCGCAGTCTCCGGCGGGTTTCCCTCCCGTTGCAAGCCTTCCTCTGCAAGGCGCAGCCGTGATGCTTTGGTGGGGACTCCTGGAGCACGTGCACTGGCGGCGGCGCCCCCGGGAAGTGGCTGGCCAGGGACCCGCCGCTCGGGGCCGCAGAGCACAGGCTCCCCTTGACGCTCGGAGCAGCTCYTCATGGAGTCCCCGCTTGCCTCTATGGTGCCATACTCGGGAAACTCGTTGATGATGGTGTGGGGGAGCAAAGTGCTGCTTCCATGGCCACTACCTGCAAAGGAAAGGAAAGAAACCATGGGTTTATCCTCTGTATGCACCAGGAGACAGCCTGACCTCCTCTCCCAGTGCGCAAGGAGCAGCGTAACTGTGTTCTCCCCTGCAGAGAAAATTCCCATCTGCTCCACTCGCTCCTGCCTGCTTTCACACTGCACTTACCTATCCACAAGCAGCCCTTTCACACTGCAGTATTTGGACAGACTGCTTTAGAGGTTTGCCTTGCAAAGGAAGAAATACCAGAAATGCCTGCCACACTTCAGGTCCCAATGGCCCGTGAATACACACTGGTCAGATGAAAGGGCTGAAGAAAGCAGATATTCAGAGGCTTAACACCCATCCACAGCATGTGCCATACATGCTGGTGTTATTTTTAAACAATTTAAAGGATTCCGAGTCATTTTAATTTATCAAGATGAAATATAGGGACAATAACGAGTTACATCCCACAGATTCTACAGTCACAACAAAAYCAATTAGCTGAATTACAAGGCAATTAATGGGCAATTTTACTTTCTGCCAGTACTGCCATCTTCCTTTAACAACTCATGTAATTGACAACCATGTCAGTGTTGCCTTTACATTYCAAGGCTCACGCATTCCTAGTCAAAAAATAAAAGCAGTGAGGCCTGGAAAGCTTGTTCCCCCTCTCACTGAGTGATGTTTTTCCAACTGCAATTGTTAAAAATAAAGTGGGGGAAAAGGCTGGTGGTCTTATTTTCCAAAGAGCTGAGCACTCAGCTTCTGCCATTGTTCTTGGTAACACAGAATCCACTGCTCTCTGAGGGACCTCATGGATGACACACGGATGAGCACGTGGCCTTCTTATGTAATGGCCCAAGAGGAACTGAGATTTTGGAAAAAGGAGCAACATCTGTTTGCTGCACACTCTGGAAAACCCTATCCCGAAGTACAAACTGGTTTAAACAAAACAAAAGGGGCTGGATACAAACACCTATTGTGAGYAGTGTCTGGGAGGCAGCTCCAGGGCTCAGCTCCAATGCACACTTTGGAAGCACTGCCCTTTCTAGGGTATAGCTCCAGATGCTGCTTTGCAAACAGATTTCTGCCCTCCCTCGGCGCTGCCTGGCCACAAGCTGTTCCTGAGAAGGAACGGGGTAGCTGCGGCCAGCAGCARGCCGAGCCCAAGGTAAAAGCAAGGATAATTTAATGCTAGCTCAGCACTAATGTCGCTCGTACCTTCCCGTGGCTTCCCTTAGCTCACCATGAGCCACCCAGGAGCTCTGTGCACAGAGGGTTGCAGGGCACCTTGTGCATGGGCTCAACCAAATGACAGCCKGGGAATGAGCCCAGTTGTGGTCACCTTCCCAGTAAGTGCCCTGGAATTTCAGTTCCATTGATGCAACTGCTCCAGAATAAAAGTTTCCTGGGCCAGTTTTCCATGAGCCTGTCAGATCCTCCTTTAAGCAGATTAGCCAGATTAGCCCCACCTTGGCACTCAGCTGCATGGGCAGAGCCAGGCCGCTCTGCACTGTCCTCAACGCCACRTTCTCCGTGGAGCAGGCACCAGACCATGCCCTACAGCCGCTGGGCGCATTGCTCCGAGCTGCACCCGACCTGCAGGGCACAAGCTCCTGGGCCAACATCCTCAGCATTCTCGCTGTTAGTGCTGGCTTAAGCCTTCCTCCAAAGACAAGCTCCTCTGCCCTGTGCAGCGCCCTGCTGCATCCCTAAGGAGGGSAGAGCTCTGCACCCACCAGCAGCGCACACAGGGCTCCCATGGCCGGGCGTATTTGGTGCCCCCAGGGTGCTCCCTCTCCRTACACATCCTCTCCATGGGGCTCCTCACTGCTGACATGCCAAGGCCAGGTCCTAAATATGCACCAGGCACCAACCTGGTCAACAGTGAGGCTCCCACCCCTTAATCACCTTTCTCGCTCTCCGCTGGCCCCTCTCTRGAAGCTCCACATCYCTCTTGTCCTGGGGAGCCCAGAGCTGCCCCCAGTGCTCCAGGTTTGGCCTCCCCAGAGCTGAGCAGAGGGGCAGGATCCCCTCCCTGCCCTGCTGACAACATCCTCCCCACGAGGACCCTGCTGCCTCAAGGGCAACTTGCCACCGGCCTTTCCCTGGCTGAGCTCTAACACACCGCTGGGCACCGCTCTGTCTCACAGAAGGTGCCTGACAG